AAAAATGGCTTCTCCCAACTAACTATTTCCTCTTTCTTTGCTGCTCCGCAGTCAGTACAGGTCAGAGTACCACTGCCTCCTGTTACATATGGGTGGTTGTGGATATTTTACTGTATTTATATGTTTATTACTGAATTGATTTATTTGTTTAGAGGGTATTTTTGCATCTACCTACTTAGTGCTCTAGGGATTTATTTAGCTATACTGTATTTTCTGCATCTACCTTCTTAGTGCTCTAGTGATTGATTTATTTAGCTATACTGTATTTTCTACACCTACTTGCTTAGTGCTGTAGTGGTTGCTTGATTGATTGATTTATTTACTCTGTTTTTCTGCATCTACCTTCTTATGGCTGCAGGGATTTATTTGTTTAAAATGTTTTACCTTCCTACTGCCGTTATGATTTATTTATTTAGATTGTATTTTTCTGTCCCTACTTTTTTGCTGTAGGGATGTATTTTCTCTTATGACTTTTCTGCATTTTCCTGTTTTGGGCCCCCGTCTGGGGATCGTTTTTTTCTCGGGTTTGGGGGGGGGGTTCCTTTTTTCCCTCCCTCTACCTCTTCCGGGTGGCTTTGCCCCCTTCACTTTTTGTCCATTTAGCAGCAGCCGGAAAGCGGTCCTCTGACCGCTTTCCGTTGGCGACTGCCAGGACCCCGGAGTAAAACTCCGGCGGTCCCACGTATTGGATCCCGCCTGCCGGCTCCGTCTGCCGAACGAGATCCTCTGCTTCCACCCCCCACCCGACCGACGCTTCTGCTCGCGGTATAACTGCTTTGTCTGTGCCTCATTGATCTGGCCTGTGCTGTCTGTGCCAGAATGTCTGCATGCCAAGCCTACTGCCACATACTCACGCTTGTGCATTGCATGCGAAGCCCAACTTGCCTCGGTCACTATATGGGGTGCTGCCCCTATCTCCCTGCCGGTGACACTTGTCCTCTATACTCCTTGAGGTCTCTTTGCCTGGGACCGCTGCACAGGGGAACCCTTATCTGGGTTAACAGGGCAGTCAATGACTACTATGGCAGTAACCGCCTCTGTGGAATTAGGCTTCAGCCAGGGTCCTCCCTTAAGCTTATCAGGAGCGTAATGCTAGAGGGCCCACCTTTAAAACGGCAGGCGACTTGAATGAGTCAGACTCTCCTAGATGAGAGCAGGCAAGGGCACATAAGCGCTACTGGAAGGGTGAAGGCCCTGAAGCAGTGACTTGAATGAGTCAGACTCTCCTTGAGGAGAGCAGGCAAGTGCGCATGAGCGCTACTGGAAGGGTGAATGCCCTGGAACAGGCTCCCGGAAAGATAATATACACAAAAAAGTAAATCTATACTGTATAAGGAAAGATAAGACTCTGAGGAGCGGCTAACCCCTCTGCAATCGGCCATATGGCCCTGCCTGTATGGCGCGGGGGAGGCGATGACCACTGGACACGGCAGTGACCACCTTCTTAAAAAGGCAGACAACTTGAAGGAGTCAGACTCTCCGAGTGGAGAGCAGGCAAGGGTGCATAAGCACTACGGGTAGGGTGAAGGCCCGGAACCAGACGCCCGGAAAGATTAGACTCCGGAGAAGTGTCTAGCCCTGATACGATCAGCCGTGACGGCCAGACGACACTGCCTATGTGGCGCAAGGGTGAAGGTCCCTGTAACCCCCCTACCATGGCCGCCCTAGCTGAATGGCGGGCGGACCGGTTCCCCTCGGAGGGAGAAGATGATGGGGGTGTGGATTAGGATGACGGCCCTTAGTGGCACCATGAGATGTAGAACAAAGTCCACTACAGGGGTCCCGACGACCGTGGAAGAAGAGGTCGTCTCGTGGACCGCCTTAAATGAACCCCTGTTTGACCCTCGATCCATTGCTCACCTGGTTTCTTTGGAATGGTCTCTGCCTGATCACCTAGCACCATCAGTGTGTTTCTGGGCCCGTAGACCGCTGGCTTGAGAAGCCCGCAGGACAATTCGAGCGGTATTCCCAGCCGGGCTCCCGAACATAGTAGCCGCAAACCCAGACTTAGACCCCAATGGGGCACTGCGGTCTTGCTGGTTAAGCACCTGTCTAGTATTCAGGAGATCCTGAGTGCGGCCCACTGCAGTGCCTATACTATTAAGTCCGCACTGGCAAGCCGATTTTTCTCCGCTACACGAGTCAGTTGTGCTAGCGGAACATACGAGGAAGTATAAGATGTGTTCTTTTTTACATGGAAATACTTGACGGAGGCTTATCTCAGCTCCAACCCGTACCTTTTATTGGGGATTGAACCCTTGACCCGGAATTTCACACTTGCCTCCACTTTCAGATGACATCCCAGATGGGGCCCCGAGTCTGGGGTGGCATACAACCCTATCCTAAACGCAATTTCGATCACTGGAGGTGCTTGGGATAAAGGGATCTGTGCCCCTTGGAGTCCCAGCATGAGTCTACAATTAAACGTATATTCATTAGTTACTTTGAATTAGACGCGGCCCTCAAGAAACTTCTAGGGACCGCGGGGCCCAGTTCTGGTAAGGTGGCCTTTAATTTCTCCCTGGTGAGATAGATATCTTGTGCATCAGTCATTTGGGCGACAATACAACCTGGTTGGCAGGTTGGGAGGAATTGAGGACATTCAGGAATACCAGAACTATCTGAAGAGATCTTTCTCGTTTTCCACGGGTTGGGACCTGGACGCGACTCTTCATCGATATAGGACATCTTGCTGTACGGTCTACCTGGACGGACTTGCCGGACCCCCTGCGAGGTACCTCCCAGACCGAAAGGTCAGACGCTCCCTGTGTTTTCCCTTGTTTGAGTCCCTGGATTTCGTTTTCAACCAGGGAAATATCGACCTCCTCTACATCTCAAGGAGTGGAGTCCTGGAGGGCAGATTGGACGCAAGGGGGTGCCTTCTACGCTCTCCTCTGCCCGAGTTCTCGTACGTATGGAATAGTTTTCGCTGGGAGGACCCGGCATCAAGACTTTATTCCAGGGGGGAGGACCCATCAGGCCCCGACCAGTTCGGCTGGATGACGGACCCGTTTGCTCAGCGATGGATGCTTCCCTCCAGGAGTGTTCGACACGGAGACGCGGATGAGTCTTCTCTGTTTCTTTGGTCTCAGGACCTTTCTACAGATGCCTCGGTCTGCTGGTACTTTGGAATTATGATCTCCGCTTCGGCAGAGCGGTTCCTGGATTCCATGGGCCCTTGCTCATTTGATCTCGGGGATTTGGTCTACATGGCGACCCTGACGTAGTTGGGTCTGGTACAGATCTCCTAATTTTGCTACCGCTTTTACAGGGTTCAGGTATTGTTCGGTCACTTTATTACCGGGGACTGCCATATTAATTAGATTAGGTAGCATAACGACTGTTGTCGGCGGGCCTCACTCTGCTTAGAATTCCCTTTATGATTCCTGAGGACAGGTATTCATCTGTCGGGTTTTGCCCATTCCCTGATTCTGGATTTATTTCCGTTATTATACCTTGTTTTTCTTTCAGATGGGTTCGGCAGTTCGGACCTTAGTTGTCTATCAGCCTTCGTCGGACCCGAGGGTCATATTCTTACTTTGGCAGCGCTCCCACCTTTTAGGCGGTGTTCGACGTCACTGCTTGTTTAAATGGTTCTTCCCTTTTTCTCGCCCTTCATGTGCTGCTTGGTTGTGGTTGGCATTGGTGGGGCGTATAGGTTTTTTTGGTTCACTTCAGTCCGTAACACGGCGACTTCAGGTACCGACATGGCGGGCGTTTTTCTCCAAGACATTGTACGCTTTCCTGCCAGTTACGAGGAGCTATCTTCGCAAAGTTTAGGTTGGTACGCCGGATCGTGTTTCTTTGGTCTTTGCTGTCCGAGCGTTAAAACAGAAAATATGCAGCCTCCTGTCATGCTATAAAACTGTAGATTATACTAGCTTTAGTGTAACTATAATCTTAATTTTATTAATGACAGGAGGCGAATATTTCCCTCCTAGTTTCTCCCTCCCCTTGTTTGTTGGTTTGACTGACTCAGGGCCGGCGCGTCCATAAGGCGGCACAGGCGGCCGCCTTAGGGCGCACCGGCTCTGGGGGCGCAAAATTCCAGTAACCGGCAGGAGGGAAGTGCTCCCTCCTGCCAGGTCACCTCCTGGATCCCCGGCGCGGCGTGCGGCTGAATTGGATGCCGAGGTGGCGAGGGAGCTCTGATCACTCTGATATGCTCCCTCGCAGGCTGTTTACTGATGACGTCATATTCCGGCTCCGGCGGCATCAGTAAACAGCCTGCGAGGGAGCAGATCAGGGAGGTCAGAGCTCCCTCGCCACCTCGGAATCCAATTCAGCCGCAATAAATAGTAGAGAAAAAGTACAGGTGAAACTGTGGAAAACATAGAATTTATGCCCACAGTCCACTAGTACATAAATAGCAATCCATAGTAGATAAAAATTAACTTTTAATAGATGATTTAAAAAAAATGTGGTAACACTGTCACAAGGTATCTGGCTAGCACAATCGCTGCATCCAAAACTGAATAGATTAAGCGATGAAAGAGAGAGAAAGAAAAATAAATAACATATAATAGTGATTAATTACTTATAGTCCAGATAAGAAAGGAAGGACAGGGTTAATCAACAATAAAGCCCAATGTCCCTGTATAGTATCACCACTCCCGTCTCCCAATCTTACTCAAAATAAATTTCTGTCTCTCTTTAAATAATCGCTATCTAACTCAGGCTGACATACGGTAGAAAAGACAAATCTAATCTAATTCAGCGTCTAAAATAAAATAAATGAATGAAGCAGAGGGGTGGCTGTTGGAATCTAGTGAATCGTTGTAAGGTCGTCCCTGTCTGCCTCCCACACCCTCTGCCGCACTGAACTCGACGCGCGTTTCGCCGAAAAACGGCTTTTCAAGGGGCAGTTCAGCCGCACGCCTCCCTGCAGCCCCACTGGACCACCAATGAGAGACCCACGCCAGCTCTCCAGGTAGGGAGGCTGGGTGGGAAATGTTAATTTAATTTAGATTATTAATTACTGTGTGTGTGTGTACATGTGAGTATGTGTGTCAGTGTGTGTGTGTGCATGTGAGTATGTGTGTCTGTCAGTGTGTGTGTGTGCATGTGAGTATGTCTGTCAGTGTGTGTGTGAGTATGTGTGTCTGTCAGTGTGTGTGTGTGCATGTGAGTACGTGTGTCTGTCAGTTTGTGTGTGTGCATGTGAGTATGTCTGTCAGTGTGTGTGTGAGTATGTGTGTCTGTCAGTGTGTGTGTGAGTATGTGTGTCTGTCAGTGTGTGTGTGTGCATGTGAGTATGTGTGTCTGTCAGTGTGTGTGTGCATGTGTGTCTGTCAGTGTGTGTGTGTGCATGTGAGTATGTGTGTCTGTCAGTGTGTGTGTGTGTGAGTATGTCTGTCAGTATGTGTGTGAGTATGTGCGTCTGTCAGTGTGTGTGAGTATGTGTGTCTGTCAGTGTGTGTGTGCATGTGAGTATGTGTGTGTGAGTGTGTGTGTCTGTGAGTTTGTGTGTGTGTGTGGTTCTGTCAGTGTGTGAGTATGTGTGTCTGTCAGTATGTGCATGTGTGCATGTGAGTACGTGTGTCTGTCAGTGTCTGTGAGTTTGTGTGTGTGTGTCAGTGTGTTTTTCAATGAGTCTGTCAGTGTTTGTGTCTGTCAGTGTGCGTGTGAGTGTCTGTCAATGAATGAGTGTGTCAGATAAGTGAGTCTGGCTGTCAGAGATGTCTGTGTGTTTGTCATTGAGTGTGTGTGACTGTCAGTGTTTATACACCCCTGACTGTAGCGTGGCCAAGCGGAGTGTACCGTGGTTGGTCTGTTTCCTGTACCTGGCAGAACTTACAGGAAAAGCTCACTGTACCGGGATTTGCTCCGCTCAGCCACGCTACAAAAAAAGGAAGGAGGCACACCAGGAAGGGGAGGGGACCACTATGGGGGTGGGTGGCGCACCAAGGGACAGGGAGAGGAGGGGAGAGATACCCTAAGGTACAGGAAAAGGAGGGAGGGGGGGAGAGGAACACTAAGCGACAGCCAACAGATGGGGGAGGGGAGAGGAACACTAAGGGACAGGGAAAGGAGGCTGGAAGGGAAAGGAACAGTAAGGGTCAGAGAAGGGAGGGGACCATTAAGGGACGGGGAGAGGGGCCGGATGTGAAAGAAACACACAGCGGGGCTTGAGAAGGAAAGAGACACACACAAAGGAGCTGGGAAGAATAAAAGACACAAATGGGCTGGGAGAAAAGGAGTCACACAAAGGGGCTAGGAGGAGTAAGACACAAAATGTGGGAGGATGTAAGAGTCATACAAAGAGGAGAGATAGGAGACACACAAAGGCAAAAATAGGAGATAAAATACACTAAAGGGAGTCAGATATTTAAAAGACGGGATAAGAAACACAAAAGGGAGGTTAAGAGGCACATGGGTGAAGATGTTTTTGGGGGGGCGGAAAAATGCATCTTCGCCTATGTACCCAAAATTCTTTGCACCGGCCCTGGCCCTACATAAGGGTACTAATTTAGGAAGTTATATACTAAACAGATGAATAAAAGCAATTTTCTTAATTTTGATCTTTCAGCAGCCTTATTTGCTATCCTTATATGGGATTGTCATAGTTAAAATATCGAAGTATGGAACTATTTACTAAACCCACACAACTCTTATACGCACATATAATCACAAACATACACAGCCTCCCTATCTGTGCCTGGGATAACTGGAACGGATCCCCTCGCTGGGGTTCAGTGGGGCTGCTGGGTTCACTGCACTCTTCCTGCGTAGCTTCCATCTTTACCTTGTAGTGATGCCAGGGTGATTTTATATACCAGCTGCTGGCACACTAAAGGGTGTGAGAGAGAACTGTTCAGAAGGAACCCAGTAAGTAAATAGCTTCCTCACTGCCCATTCAATCCCCCAACAGGATATATGGGCACCTGCAAAGTGAAAGCCCCCACGGCATTTGGCAGTGCCAGCTGCTTGGTTGCCATAGGATTGTGCCAACCTTGTTTGGGACCTGATGCCATGTTTTTAACTCCTGGATTCAGTAATGTCATTTGTCATTTTTATTCATTACAACTTGTGTGAGTGTTCTATGCAAATCCACATGTATATGAAACCAAATATATTATATTAATATCTGTGTATAAATTGTAAGCATAATTTATAAGCACACTGACTCATGCATACATACACACACAAATTACAGATGCTCTCTCTGTACAGTTTAATTACCTGTTGCTGTCCAATGGCTGCTGGTGCGGCATTTCAATTGGGGGCACAGCATGCTGTGAGGGGGGTGTTCACCCCAGCTCACTGAGCTGTGTGGGTACTTGTTGCCCTTGTTGCCATGGTGCTCGATGCTGCCCATAGCTTAGTTCACACACCCCAAAGGCTTGCCATGGCAGCAACTCCACACAGCCACGCAGGCACTCGTCTCACCCTTCCTATGGGGTGCCTCACACACTTCATCCTTCCTATGGCTCTGCTTAAAGGACCACTATAGTGCCAGGAAAACATACTCAGGGTCCCACTCCCGCCGGGCTCTAGGGGGAGGAAGGGGTTAAACTTACCTCTTTCTCCAGCCCCGGGCAGGGAACTCTCCTCCTCCTCGGCTGAATGCGCATGCACGAGCCGCACGCGCATTCAGCCAGTCCATAGGAAAGCATTCACAATGCTTTCCTATGGACGTTGGCGTCTTCTCACTGTGAAAATCACAGTGAGAAGCACGGAAGCACCTCTAGCGGCTGTCAATGAGACAGCCACTAGAAGCTGGATTAACCCATATATATAAACATAGCAGTTTCTCTGAAACTGCTATGTTTATAGAAAAAAGGGTTACACCTAGCTGGACCTGGCACCCAGACCACTTCATTAAGCTGAAGTGGTCTGGGTGCCTATAGTGGTCCTTTAAAGGACCACTATAGTGCCAGGAAAACATACTCATTTCCTATGGGGATTTTAGCGACGCTGGACGTCCAGCGACGCTATAGCACAAAACCTGTGCTATGAACCAGGAAGTGCTGTCTAGTAGACAGCCACTAGAGGAGGAGTTAACCCTTGCAATGTAAATATTGCAGTTTAAGAAAACTGCAATATTTACAGTTGCAGGGTTAAGAGTAGTGGGAGTTGGCACCAAGACCACTCCAATTAGCAACATAAAAATGTATTCCTTGGTAAGCTAGCCCGTAGGGAAAACAGAATCAGTGATAGCTAGGAACCATATAGGCCCTCTACCCTCACTACCATAGAACCTCGAACTTTAGAGACCCAGGTGCAGTCACCATTCAGCCTCCAGGCTATACTATGGGCAATAATACTGTGCTTCCCAGTTGAGATGTTTCAAGGGTGTTCCCTGTGTTCTGTGCTCAGATGCTTTGAAGCCTTCCTATAGGTCAAAAGCCTTGGTTAACCGCTTCAAGCTTGGTCCTGCCTTGGTTAACTGCTTCAAGTCTGTTCCAGCTTTGGTTAACCCTTAAGCATGTGTCCTTGCCTGGATAATCCAGTACCCGCTGAGTATAACCCAAGCCTGACTGATCTAGAGCAGACCATCTGGTAAAACCTTGTTTATTTGCTCAACCCGTTAAAGATTTTTTTATTATTTAAATCTACCTGAATTGTCAATCAAGACTTTGTTTGCTGGTCCTGATCTTCCAGTGAGACTTTTCAATTATACATTTTGCCTTATCAATAAAGACTTTAAGTTTAGTGACTATTGGCTGTGTCTGTCCAAATCTCTGCATTCTGAGCCCATTCACCCCGTGAGACCACGGGGTGCTGTGTGTTAGGGTGCTGTTAGTGTGTGCTGTGTGTGTGTATGTGTGAGGGTGCTGTGTGTGTAAGGGTGTTGTTAGTGTGAGGGTGCTGTTAGTGTGTGTAATGGTGATGTACGTGTGTGTGCTGTATGTTTGTGTGTAATGTGTGGGGTGTGGGGGCCATTTAGTTAATATCCCCCCTCCCTTCTTACCTTATGTAGGGAGGAGGGGCCGTGCTCCTGGTCCAGTGGAGAGTGAACTCTAGCGAGATCTGAGCGTTGCCGCGGTAACCACGGCAATGCTCCGACTGCACGAGAGGAACCCGGCGGAGCTGCTGACAAGAGCTCCCCGGGTCCTCTCCTGCCTCCCTCACTGCCTGTGGGTTGGTGAGGGAGATCTTTGATCTCTCTCACCGGCCCCTTGGAGGGAGGCACATAGTGCGTGCTACGGGGATTAGGGTGTGCCCAGGCACACCCCGTGCGCACGCATATGGTCCCCAACTATGAAAATCCAGTGTTTTACGCTCAAGTTTAGCTGAAAAGTCTCTCCAACATTCCTTCTCAGTCAGTAGTGAAGCCCCACTGTGTCATTTTTTTTTTATCATGATCATTTATTGTAGACTCTACAGTTCTACATTCTTTTCTAATTAATTTATCATCTGCTTTAGGTTTTTATAATTCTTTATTTACGAGTCAAGTAGAATAGGCAAATGGTACAATAAGTCTTAAGAGTATTTTTATACTCTATAGATTAGATAAAATACAAAGTCTTCAAGTCCACTCTCAGATTTATGAGTGGTTAATGTCTGTATATCCAACCACAAAGAAAACCAGCGATCATCTGGGAGAATTAGAAAAGCAATTCTGAGTGAAGGGAAGCCCTTTACCCCCTTCTCACATGATGGGATATTCATAATTAATAATAATGTGTCTCTTTTATTGGCTAATATAGTATTATTAATAATTAATAATATTTTTATTTACATAGTACTTAGAGGGCAGTACAAGTAAATTTGATTTTTCTCCAGTATAGTATCTGTGAGTCTTTTGCTCAGGTGGAAGAGCTAGACAAGTGTAAGTTACCACCAAAAATTGTCTTATGCATCTGGTTTTAAATTGTAACTGTAGCTTTAGATCCTGCTTCCCACATGTGTTCCCACACACCATCCTCCTGCAACTCCTACAGATCCATCCCCTACTGTGGCATGCATGTCAATGCACCCCAGAAGCATCCTGAAGTAAACTTAGTAAGCAAGTCGAGAGTGCTACTAAAACCAGGGCTTAACATTTCAGGTCCTATGCCACTAACCAGGTCTGAAAAGTTACCAACCACAGCAAGCCTGGAGGGTACATGGCCATGGTTATATTTGTACTCGCTAGGGCAAAATTGTCACTCACTAGTGACTAGCGGAACTTGTGAGTGCTGATAAGACCTTTTTCTCTAGTACCCTGGTCACATAGCCCTAGAAAGTGAGGTTTGGTCACAGGAGCCAGGCTAAGCCATTGACATGTACGTATTGTAAGAAGTTCTTTGAGACCAGTGGATGCACAGTATCCAGTTCGTCTAAAATAACCAATCAATTCCCCTGGT